TCAAGGTATTCAGGCACTTAAAGATAGGCACCTAACCTGCTTAGACACTGTTGTCAGTCCCATTAGGCGCCTAACTCCCATTGAAGCCAATTGGACCTAGGCCCCTAACTTGCTTAGGTGCTTTTGAAAATTCCATGAGGCACTTATTTGCATTTTAGGTGCCTAAATACCTTTGAAAATCTGGCCCATTAGGCTTCTAAGTCATGTAGGCACTTAAATTTTACCCTAAATCTTGATTCATTTGTTTGAAACTGTCACCTGTAGCGGCTAAATTAAAATACTTAGAATCAAATACAGCAAAAATGTTCCATAGATTTTATTCTAAGAATTATTCGCAGCTCCTAAATTTAACGTATAAAAGTAAGTGGAGTTAAAATATTGATTTCTCTTCAAGGTCAGTTATTCAGCATATATGACTCTTTCAAGTCTACATAGTTGAATTACATATCCTTATTTTTTAACCAGAAACCAAAATATATTTTCCGCTGTAGATTTGCAAAGCTGTGTGTATGCTCAAGTTCCCTTTAAATGATGGAAAATATTCATTCATGTGTCTTATTACAAGAGTATTCACCTGCTCTGCTATGCGTTGTTAGGCAACAGCATGGTTTTATTAAACTCTAATCCGCCCATTCCTGTATCTCAGCTTTTGTCATTTTAAGTCTTGGGCCAAATTTAGTAATGGGGTAAGTGAGTACAATTCCCAGTGGGAGTTGCACCTGTTTATTCTGGGGTTGAATTTGTCCCTCTGTCTAGGTCTGCCTCTCTTCCATCTCAGCTTTGCAGCACAGAAAGGCTGGCTGGGAAGAAGAGCACTGAATGTTTAAAAGATGGATGAGGGCTCAGCTGAGACAGATCTGATAAGCTCCTTCAGTATAAAATTTTCTTTACGGCTGTTTTGCTCTTATGAAAAGATGCTAAATCTGAGTGGTTTGTTCATGTTACCTGGTCTCTGGAATAAAACTGTGGGCTCAAAATGTATCCTTTGAGAGTGGTTATATATTTCACTACAATGCTGAGAGGCATCAACAGATAAAGAGCTCACTGTGTTACAGAGATTGGCTTGTAATCGCACAGTCTTGCTTTTTGTAAATGCTTTCAAAACTCAATTAAAAAAAAAAGAGACCCTAACTATAATCTCCCGCTGTGATTATAGTTAGGGTCTCTCTCTTATTTATACACACACACACACACACACACACAGAGGGAGAGTGCTAGCTATAATTTAATGTTACAGGCACTACATCATGGCTACAGAAGTGATCTTAGCAATTTTTTTAAATTTTTTTTTTGCCACAGATAATCCTACTGATTCACCCACCCACCAAAAAATTACTTATTCCTGTTCCACCCTTTCCCCAAGGAAAAAAAAAAGCTAACGGACTTGTCAGGGACTGGGGCATGGGCAGCCATGCCTAATGGTCAGAGCTAAGGCTGGGAATGATCACATAGAAATTATCACAGCTGCAGTCTTAAGCACTGAGCAGTTGCTAGCAACAGCCATTGGTGGGCTTAAGAGTGGACCTGGCAATGTCACTTAGCCAATCAGGTGCTCTGGTCAATGAGGTGTTATAGTTGCAGTTAGTCAGCTGATCCAGGCTCAGCCGCAGGCCCTGATTTCTGACAATTCTAGTCCCCCATCCTCACATCTCTCTGCATTAATCTGAATGAATGAGAAGAGAATCAGGTTAATTGAGTCAGATTAATGTCAAGACAGGCAGTTCAACTACCCTTCTACTGCCATAAGTAGAGGGCTACTGTCCCAGCCACGGTTCTGTTCACTTCTTCTGCACTGCATGTGAGCTCCAGATTGGGACAGAGTATTGGAGGTAGGAGAGTACAAAGGGTGGAGACCAGGGACTATGGATGTGATAGAATGAATGGGCGGGTGGGTGGTGAGGATATGAGGCCAAGACCTACAGTAGAAAAGGGGAAGAAAGGACTAGAGAAAATGTCTGGGAAAAGGAAGAGAGTACAGAAGCACAGAAAATGTAAGAAGGAGAAATCTGCACTCTCTTTCCTGCCCACACTCTCATCCTGTGAACGCTTCTCTCACTGCACACCTAAACGTCCCCTCTTACTAAAATAATGGCAGGTCCTAGAGGCTCCAACTAAGATCAGGGCTCCTTTGTACTAGGTACTATACAAACACATAGTGAAAATACATCCCAATAGACACAGAATGGGACAGGAAACAGAGAGGTGCCTTCCCCTAGGTCACACAACAAATCAGTAGTAGAGCTGGGATTAGAACCCAGGTGACCTGAGTCCAATCTAGTGTCCTATCCACCACGCTAATTTGCATCTCTTGCTATAGGCTTTTCCCCTCCAAGACAAATATGCTGGAAATTGAGTGTGGTTATCTGGTTGCTCTATAAATTATCCTAAAAAATAAATACACTCTCAGACTATAAACATTTGCAGAAACTCAAACTCAGCTGATCTGTTTCAGAAATACCTATCTAATTTCTTTCAGATTAATCAAACAGTTGTATTTAAAGGTTAAATTCAGGTTCTACTGATATTACTGCAAATCCTAAGAGTTTTTCTTTACTCATTGAAGACCTCAATTGAGCCTTGGTTACATCACATTTCAAAAAGCTAATATTCTGAAGAAGCCAGCTGAAAGGTACAGTCAAGAAAATACTTAGTAGAACACACGTGTGTGGATAAATCTGCTGCAGTCTATTTTCTTTCCAGCTAGGGTGACCAGTTGTCCCAATTTTACAGGGACAGTCCCAATTTTGGGGTCTTTTTTTTTTATAGGCTCTTATTATCCCCCACCCCCTGTCCCGATTTTTCACACTTGTTGTCTGGTCACCTTATTTCCAGCACAATTAAAATTTCCTGGTGGTCATGAAGGTGGTGTTGGAATAATTTCAGCATGATTTTTTAACTCTGTGGTCAGTTCTCAGCCATCACTCGTACTGGTTATTTGTTTGTCCAAGGCCTATGAGAGTTGCATGCCAGGCCCAGCTTTTGCGTTTTGAGGCAGGCCCTAAACTGTAAAGGATTCCTGCCCACTCATGGGTTAGGGAGCCTTGTGTTGATCTAAAGTAATGGTGCCTAGAGAATTGCACCTTTTAGTTTCTGGCTGCCTTAGTAAAGGAATTTTCTGTTACTTAAAAAGTTTATGGGGACCCATCAAGGGCTAGAGCTGTAGAGCCCAGTGCTTGGAGTAAAGCTGGCAGCCCGCGGACCAGACTGGACTAATACATTACAACACTCACAGCAATGCCGTGCAATAGGGCCAGTTCTAATAACTCCCTCACTGGAGTCAGCAGCACCTATGCTCTGATTTTCTCTGTCAGAGTTGTGATTTGTTTTGCTTCACATGCCAGGTATATTCTCTCTTAAATAACTGTGTGTAACTCTCATAGATGTTAATGGAAGTTTATAAATGTGCATCGTAAGTAAAGACCCCCTGTGGCTAGCAAGGAAACTGCGTAAGAGTTGCAGCTGCTAGTCTCCCTCCTAAGAGACCAAGTGTCACTTCTGAAACATGTTCAGTTTTCTCAGTCGAGATCACGGGAAGTCACAAGGTTGCTTCTGATGTAGGGTCTCTCATGAGGCAGCACCGAGAACAGCCTTATCCATGTACATCTGCGTATTCCAGCTTCCCCCTTCTTATCTTTGGTGGTGGTATTATTATTGTATAAGTATTTTACAAACAGAGGGCAACTTTCTGTGCTAACGTACTCCCCCATACAATCCCATTGACTTTCATTGGGGTGTACAATGGATAAGAGAGGTTAGAATTTACTTTATCCAGAAAGACACTTAATCTGCCCCCAAAGAATTTACAATCTAAAATAGCTTGAGAGTTATGAATTGGACAGAGTGGGTGGTGGGTCTCCATCTAGCTATTACAGTTCAAACATCATCATTAAAAAGTAAGTTCATTTACTTTTGGTGACATCATAGCAGAATTTTCAGAAGCCTTCTCAATCCATCGTTAACTTCACACTCTCAACAGCTGACCTCATAGGGATCTACTGCACACCTCTTCCATCCATCTCCACGCTGGTCATCCCCTACCATAGTGACCCACCACTTTTCCTTGCATGATAACCTTCCTTGCATGATAAGCTTATTTCTATCTCTATGCCCACAGTGACCAAAGTACTTAAGTCTGCACCTGTTGATTTCTGAGAGCAGTCTACTTCTCTCCAATGATATTTCTAACACTAAAAAGTACAGAAGATGGAATAAGTCTGTTCTTGCTAGGATCTGAATTAAGATTTCTCAGATCCAAAAGAAACTGGTTCAATACTTGAACTAAAAAAATATTATCATTATCTGTTGGTAATAAACATTGTCTCTTCTGGCTTTTCAACAACTACTAGGGGAAATCAGAACATGCTTATCTCATTTTAATAAAAATACAAGACCCTAATAGAGTGTTCCATCACTGTGTATATTGGGTGAAATTCAACCCTGCATGGAGGGCCAGGAGAAGGCATTTTTGTGATTTAAGTGATGCATAAAACATCAAAACTGGGATTAAGTGAGGCTTAAATGGTGAATAGACATTGTGCTTGCAGCTGCATCGTGTTAATTTCACCCAGTTTTGATTTTCATTAAAAGTTTGTGATCAAAACCAGAACTCAAGCAAAATTCATGTAGAGTTCACCCCACCCAACCATAGACTGCCATTTAAGTAAAGGGAAATGTTGCCATTGTCTTCAATGCAAGCAGAGTTAGGTATATATTTTGTAGGATTGAGACATACACTGCTCACAGTGACATCAGTATAACTCTGTTGCGCCTTTTTTTGCAAAATGTGAATAGAGTAACTTCAGTCATACTTGTGCAACTCCATTCTGCTAACTGTGAACAGTACTTGGCCAGGCCTGTCGACTTAGATTTTATTTAGGTCCTGGGGTAAAATAATTCATAGCAAGAAAAAAACAAATGTTACTGTTTGGTACAATGCGCAACAGATATGAAATACAAGAAAATAACTTATTTGGTATCTGGTTTTTTTCTTTTCTTTGCAGAATATTACAACACTTCAATACAACTGCAGAAGATTACACTATCATTTTCACATCTGGAAGTACAGCTGCACTTAAGTTGGTAGCAGAAACATTCCCTTGGATACCTGAAGGCTCGGGGCACCCCAGCAGTCGATTTTGTTACCTAACTGACAGCCACACATCTGTGGTGGGTATGAGGGGGATAACTGCTGCGATGAATGTGTTATCTGTTCCAGTGAAACCCAAGGACATTTTATTATCTGAGAAAAACAGAGTACCAGCTAAGGAACAGAACTGCATGACACCTCATGTTTTCTGTTATCCAGCTCAGAGCAACTTTTCAGGTACCAAATATCCTCTTTCATGGATACAGGAGATAAAATCAGGAAAGCTCTGCCCCATCACAACACCAGGAAAGTGGTTTGTTCTACTGGATGCGGCTTCATATGTCAGTACCTCTCCATTAGACTTAACAGTTCACCAACCAGACTTTATCCCCATTTCATTCTATAAAATCTTTGGATTCCCTACTGGTTTAGGAGCATTGTTGGTAAACAACCAAATTGCACCCTTCTTGAGGAAAAGTTATTTTGGAGGTGGAACTGCAGCTGCGTACCTTGCAGGAGAAGAATTTTACTCCCCAAGACCATCCGTAGCAGAAAGGTAATGTGTTCTTTCGCAAAATCAGGATTTATGTGGATGTTGTTTGCATTAGAAAAGTGTGTGTGTTCTGGCAGTGCTTATTTATTAAACTATGAAATAAATCCATATTTATGTATGCAGTTGTAAAGAGCTCAATATCTAGCTTGGTTCCTTAGTATTTGAATATTCCTTTCTTATTAAAAATCCTCATTAAAAATATCCCATCCTTAGCTTGACATAGTTTGTTGTGACTGGTAAAAATACAAGCATTCATTTGGTGACATAAAAGCCAGTCAATGGCTTTATTTAATTTAGAACCGAAGACCTCACTGAAATAAAGCTGTCTTTTGGAATCTCCAAATTCTGAGCAAATAAACCACAGTAGGACATACATAGTGATAGGCCACAATTAAATTTGAAGTTAAGGTCCATAGGTATACCCAGTAAAGGGTTTGGGGATTGCTGTTACTAGGAGATTAATCAGAGTAAAAGTCTTTGTGCTTACAATACAGTATATTACATTGGGCAAATATTCCAAGGTCTGTTGTGATTCTGTGAGCAGGAGCTGTGTCTAGAGGAGGAGCAGTTCTCAGGGATGGAACGGAGGGTTGGCGTGTAAGGAAAGTTGGGGCTGTGGCCACGTTCCCCCTCTTCCCAGACACACGCCCCTCTGGGAACTGGAAAGCTGAGCTCAGTGATATTTGGGTTCTTCCCTCTACTCCCTCAGTGCTAGCAACCACCTACGTGGATGCACTGAAGAGATGTGGGTCCCTCCAGCGTTTCTCACATCCAGCACAAATGTACAGAGGGCAGGCTTAAGGTTAGCCTTTAATATTAAACTACAATAGTTGGAGGGGGGAGGGGAATAGTATGTAAAACCAATTATGCCCGTCATTCATTTATAGAAATGACTATCATAATGCATACACATGTCAGCTGTACAAAAGCCTGTATCCGTAATAATTTACCTGCCTCTGCTTTACATATAGTGCAAACGACTGCATGCATTCTTCACCTAACTGTATGTTAGACTAGATTTAGAATGTTCCACATGTGTGCAGTGGTACTTTCATTTTGGCTGCATTTTATAGTAGCAGGCTGTTTGTTATCTCCCGAATGATGATCGACACTGAATGATGATTGACACTGAAGGTACACTTAGTGTTTACTTTTTAAAATATCTCCAACAGCGAGCTCAGTCTCTTGCTTCTCAGGCCAACAAGGATTAGAAGTTGGAATCTCCATCTTTGGAGATTTTTAAGAGCAGGTTAGACAGACACTTGTCAGGGATAGTCTAGATAATACTTAGTCCTGCCTTGGGTACAGGGGACTGGACTAGATGACCTCTCGAGGTTCCTTCCAGTCCTATGATTCTTTTGTTCTAAGTATGATGGAGGTATTTGAAGGTAGTGGTGGTGGTGTGGGTAAATGACACCAAAATGATAGGATCTCGGGGAACCCCAGCCTCCCATTGAAAGCCAAGTATTAATGAGCATTAATTTGACCAATGCATATTTCAACTAGGGAGTACTGTATTTCTAGAGGTAATTGGGAATTGGTTGTTATGAGAATGTTATTCTTTGAAACTGACTGTGTGTAAAATAAAATGTTCTGAAATTTTTTTTGCCATTTTAAAAATGTCAGTCTGTCATTGAACAGAGATCTGTTTACAGCACTTATTTCAAAAATATTCAGCTGACAGTCCTATTATCAGCCATGCTATTTTGCCTAAAAGACTCTGACTGTGAGCTTTGGAGGCTGTGTCCTATTAAAGCCAAAGAAGCTAGTTTTATTTATTTCCACTACATAGTTGGAAATAAGGGCATTTTCCAATTTGATTGCTCATCTAATTTTCAAATATGGGGGGCCTTAGATACCCAGACCCTACCTCTGCATACTCAAGCACATAAATTACCATTTCACATACCAAAGTATCAATATGAGTATCCGAATGCTGGATTTTAGTCATTGTGTTTGAATATTGATGTCTAACCCTTTATTGATTATATGAACTCATAATATTTTCTTGTTATTCACATTTAGCATATAGTCAGTGCTAGCCAGAATTGTAACGGTATTATGCCTGTCTACAGTTTTGACTATTGAGGCTGAAATTTTCAAAACTACATCAGGAATTTGCATGTTAAATTCCTATTAGAAATTAATGAGAACCTGTGTGGCTTTGAAAATCTCAGTCTGAATCTCTCAACTATTTATCAAGACATTTCTTTACAAGGTTATGAGATTTTGTTGTAAGTGTTATTTCTAGTCACAACATTGGAACAGATCAAACTGTTGGGACCCAGCTGTTATGTTTAAAATGTACTTCCTGGCCATCATTGACAAGGCTAATATGCTAACCATATTTCTGGGCCCATGATTGTAGCAAATAGGGTCATCTGTGCTCATAGAGACAGTAACATTTGCCAAGTTATAACTCTGCCAGCTTCTATTATCAGATGCACCTCTTTGGGGCTCCTTCTGTCTTTTATCATTTGATATTTGAATATTTTTAAAGTGCTAGTCTCTTAAAAGTGCTAAAAAGTTCTTTTTAAAGTGCTAGCTTCACACTAGGAGGGAATATAAGAAGACATATTCAGATATATATTTTATTTCAGAAGGAAACTTGTTTTAAACTAAAAAATATTCACAAGGTAGATTAGAAAATGTATCTCGGAAACCCATCTGGTGGAAGGAATTCCCTGTCCACACATAATCAGGGCTTAGTTTACTAAGGAAACGGCTCCTTGCAAGGCTCTGTGAGATTTGAGTGGAGATTTATAAGGTAGTGGCTTGCTTGTCATTCCTTCTCAAGGCTGACACAATTGACACTTTTGCTGATGTTACTTCCATATTGAGAGCACCAAAATAAGGTATAATTGACATCATCTTGGACTCTTTTAGATTCCATAGACTCACTTAAATTCACCTCTGATTTTTTCCCATTGTATGGTAGTAATCTCTCTTCCTATCCCTAATCACACTTAAAAACTTAGTTTTTTATATTTTCATCCATGTATCAAACAGCTTGACAGATTATCGTCGTTCAGCAATCTAGCCTCATTTTCTGTCTTTTTTTTTTCTGCACAGCAGGGGATAATAACATAATATGATTTGTACAGTAAGTGTGGAGTGATAAAATATTCATCCTCTGCCCTATTTTTCCTTTGTATTTGGGATTGCTATTCCGATGCTGATCATTCTGGAACACTTAACTAAAAGACACCAGAAGCTGTTTCTATACCTGTCAATAGGATGGTTGTGTCTATCCACTAATCTGGAGTATCCCAACCTGTTAACTGCTTGTTTGGGGAGCACGTTACACTCAGAAATGAATCTTTTAAGAACAACCTTGAAATCCAGCACCCTGACATCCACTCCAGGGGCTACACAAGGGCCAATGTACTACTTAGCTCCTACTTCAAACCCATCTTAAAGGGCAAGTTCTGATCACAGTATGTAGCCGAATTACCTTGGCTGGGTACCGCGGAGTGCTGCAGGAGCGGAAATCTCTGCTCAGGGGTGTGGAGCAGCAGTAGATCCACTCTTTGGAGGCTACTTCTGCTGACAGGCTGTTGTAAATAGCCCCTGTAGCTCTACTGCACCCATTCTCTCGGCGGGAGGAAAAGACCAGAGGATCTATGTAGTGGTGGATGCTCTGGTCCACTCCCCGACTCTACTTTAAACACACTCTCCATACCAATAAGTGGGAATCTTCTATGCACCTGTGTTTCACACAGTGAGGGCATAATACCTAAATGGCTCTATCTAGAATCCTGCCTTCCCTATACTACAAAAGTACACTAGGTCCATGCCCACCGAGTAAAAGGCAATCTGTCCTTACTTACTTAATTGTAGATAGGGCTTGTATAGGGGTCTGTATCTGGATAAATTTCTTCCTGATAGCTAGTCCTTTATGTTCAAAGACTTTTGTTACTCTATTATTTCTACAGCACTATAGTATTTAAAGTGGTAAAGGTCCCTACCAAAAAAATCCTTGTTATTTTCTAAATTTCAAATTCACAGAATTACTAAGAAAAATTTACCCATCCCTAATGTATGTTCTCTCACTCTGTCTCTCCCCTCAGTTGCTTTAAGAAATGTGATTTTGGTGACTGGAAAGCTCAAAGGATCATTAAAGAGCTACAGAGACTTTAACGTCTAGGCAGTACTGGGTTTACTATGGTGCCAATGGTGCCGTTGCACTGGGCCCACACTCAGAAGGGGCCCATAGCAACTACATGTATATTTAAGGGTACACATCATGAATCGCGATAGCTTTCAATACAGAATGTGTGTATATATTAAGAATTTGGTGCTACATTTTTAAAAACAAACTATTTGAAAAGTGTATGCATATTTTACGTGCACATAATCATATTGTTATGGTATTGTAGTTTACATTTTATTTCTGCACTGCAATCATTTACAGTAAGGCGCATTTAGTCACACTGTCAATGGTGTAATGTGCGTATGCACGTACTGCAGTCTACTGCAGGCACGGATGAGGTGCAGAGCAGGAAACTATAAACATAGAATGAATGAACAAGTCCAAGTGATAAATAAAATAATTATGAAAAAACATTTAAGTGGCACTCACAAATGGAAGTGTAAAGCAGAATCAGAAGATCAGAATGCAAAACTGCATTGCTTAAGCAGTTACTTCATTAATAACAGTACAGAGACTCTCAGTGATTATATTAATAATACTAGCAGTACTTGTAACAATGATGAGCATGTAATTGATTATACTAGTATGGCAGCAGGTGCCACCTACATTGATCATGACTCTGAAGAACATGCTGTTTCTTCTAATTAAATCCTTTTGCCAAATAAAGAACACAGCAATAACTTGCTGCTGCAAAATACACCATCACGATTACCTTCCTCTGATGCTGCCCTGTGGACTGTTGATGTTTTCACTCAACAGTACTGCATAGACATGGGCCCCAATTTCTTCCGAAATTGTGATGGAAAATATTCAATGTCATCAAGACCACATAAGGCTAGAACAAGGTAAT